AAATGTAATTCACACACCCTACCATTTACCCATTTAAAGTATACAATGTAAAGTATAAATTTAGTGATTTTTAGTATATTCTCATGTATGTGCAGCTATCACCACAGTCAACTTCAGAGTGCTTTCATCACTCCACAGGGAAATCTGTGCCCTTTACCGGCTAACCCCTCTTTCCCCATCCCCTCTTCCGCCAGCCCCAAGAAACTACGAATCTACTTTCTGTCTCTGTCCTGGACATTTTATATAGATGGAATCATACCACATTTGTCCTTTTGTGTCTGGCGTCTTTCATTATATTTTTGGGGTTTTGTTGTTGTTTCTTAAGATATGGTCTCAATCTATCCCTCGGGCGGGAGTGCAGTGGCATGACCATAGCTCACTGCAGCCTTGAACTCCTGGGCTCAAGTGATCCTTCTGCCTCAGCCTCCTGAGTAGCTGGGACTACACACATGCACCACCATGCCTACTTTATTTATTTAGTTAGTAGCGATGAGGTCTCACTATGTTGCCCAAGCTGGTCTCACAGTGCTGGGCTCAAGCGATCCTCCCACCTTGGCCTCCCTTAGGGCTGGGGTTGCAGGTGTGAGCCACCACACCTGGCCAAGAATTGGTATTCCTTAACTGTTCGTAGAATTCAGTAGTGAAGTTATTTGGCCAGGGCTTTTCTTTGTAGATAGTGTTTTGATTACTAATTCAATCTCTTCACTTGTTCTAAGTATTTCAAATTGTCTCTTTCTTGAGACGGTTCTGGTAGTTCATGTCTTTCTACTTGGCTTAGATTTTGCAGGCCTCTCCCTGCTCTTTCAGTCACAGTTGACGTTTATTGAGTTCTTTCTATGTAGCAAGCTTTTGTTGTGCATTAGCTCATTTAGTCTTTACAAAAACTTGATGAGCTAGGTAGTACTATTGTCATCTCCATTTTACAGATGGGGAAGTGGATGCAGGGAGAGGTGAGATAACAGGTCAAGGTCACACTGCTAGGAAATAGGAAATAATTCATTCAGGTTTTGATTCCAGACAGTCCAGCCATGCAGCCCCTGGCCTTGCCGCCTCCCAGCCTTTCTCCAGAGACTCTGAGAGGGGCCTAAGGCCTGACATGAACAAAGGGCTGGGGGAGGTGGGGTCGGAAGGGCCCCAGGAAAAGTGTGTGTAAAGGGCTCTGACTCCCAGTTGGGGAGTTCGGATGTCCCCTCGGGGCTTTCGTCTTCTAACCTCTCTCCCAAGCGCTCAGCCAAAGGGCAGCACAGAGCACCCTACCCTAGGGTGCCGCACCCCAGCTGGCAGGAATTTGGAGCAGTAGATCTGTGCCCAGCAGGTCTGTATGAATCACCCAGGCCTCTGCATTTTGCTTTTCTAGAGGAAGAGGCATGGCAATTTGTAAGACAATCACTAGACGGAAATCGGGAGCAACCAGACATAACTCAACATAATTATTTCTGCATAATGACTTCTGCTACTTGATTCTGTCTCGAGCAATGACTGTAATCTCTATCTGTCACTGGGAAGCTGGTGGCCAGGGAGCCCCTGTGGCTTAGAGATAGAGCCAGGAGGAAATTTGCAATTCGAGTTAATGGAGTGTTCCCAAGCAGCCTGGGAGCCAGTGCCTTCGAGGTCTCTGGAATAGCAGACCCCCCCTCCTGCTAGGAAGCCTGGTGTCAGAGCTGGCTGGGCCTCCTCTGCGGAGTCCAACCCACCCACTTTGTGGCAGATGGGGAAATTGGAAATGGCAGAGGTCACAGGATGTGCCCAAGGCACAGGCCAACCTGGAACCAGCACTTCCTCTCCACCCTCCCACCATCCAGCATTTCCTCATCAGCTGGCCTGGCTGTCGGTGGGACAGAGGGAAGATACCTCTGTGGAGCCGGTCACTGAGAGTGCTGGCCAGGCAGGGCCGCCCCCAGGAGGCTGGAGACAGTGGGGACTTTGCAGCCAGATAGTGAGGGACCTCAGTGTGGTGACTGGGTGTGCTTGCTGAGCGTGCGGGCAGATTTGCGCTCACCTGCTCCAGCCGGGGGCATGCAGAGGCCCCTCCTTCCCCAGGAGGGTGCTTACTCACTGCATTGCATGGCCTCTTAAAAGTCCCCGTTAGGCCGGGCATGGTGGCTCACACCTGTAATCCCAGTACTTAGGGAGGCCAAGGCAGGCAGATGGCTTGAGCCCAGGAATTTGAGACCAGCCTGGAAAATGTAGTAAGATTTCATCTCTACTAAAAATGAAAAAAAAAAAAAAATAGATTGGGGTGCACCTGTAGTCCCAGTTACTTGGGAGGCTGAGGCTGGAGGATTGCTTGAGCCTGGGAGGTTGAGGCTGCAGTGAGCTTTGATTGTGCCCTCCAGCCTGGGTGACAACCCTGTGTCCCGAAAAACAAATAAACGGAAAAAAAAAAAAACCTTTTAATTAACCAGAGCAGCTGAAAAGAACAGAGCATGGGTTTGGGGATTTGTGTTTTGGGTACCCCACCCCCCACTTAGCCGAGTGTGACCTAGGCTGGTGTCCTGGAGTCTTTCTTTCTCCATAAACGGTTGAAAATGAGGAGGATGATGCAATGAGGAACTGGTACATTCTGCCGCTGGCTCCATTACTGGATTTCTCCTCATGGAGAGCCCTTGACCCTGTTCAGGTCTTGATTTCTCTCAGTGTCAGAGCAGAGCGCACGGAGCTGCTGGATAAATTGGCTGAGATCATCGATTTGAAAACGCCATGGGAAAATACGGGGCAAGGCGGAGAGCACAGAGGAGCTTTAGGGCAGTGAGCCCGCGCTATGTGATGCTGTAGTGGTGGGTACGCGTTGGTACACGTTTGTCAAAGCCCACGGAGTGGCCCACACCAAGAGTGAACCCTAACGTGAGCTGTGGACCTAGGAGGTGATGATGGTCAATGCAGGTCCCTCAGTTGCAAAAAATGACTCACTCTGGCAGGGGATGTGGATTGTGGAAAAGGCTGTGGCCGGGAGTGGTGCAAAGGGTATATGGGAACTTTCTGCTCAATATTTTGGGAAGACCAAAAAATTAAAATCTTTTATTTTATTTTATGTTTTTGAGACAACATTTCACTCTGTCACCCAGGCTGGAGTGCAGTGGTATGATCTCGGCTCACTGCAACCTCTGCCTTCCAGGCCCAGGTGATCTTCCAACCTCAGCCTCCCATGTAGCTGGGACTACAGGCGTGCACCACCACATGCGCTAATTTTTTGTATTTTTAGTAGAGATGGCATTTCATGATGTTGCCCAGGGTGGTCTCGAACTCCTGGAGTCAAGCAATCCATCTGCCTCAGCTTCCCAGAGTGCTGGGATTACAGGCGTGAACCATGGAGTCCAGCCTAAAATCTATCTTTAAAACACACACACACATGTACACACACACACAACTATCTTAAAAGCATAGTGACCTTGCAGTGAGAATTTCTGGTGGGAAGATGCATGACTTTGTCAGGTCTTGAATTCTAGCAGTGAGTTTACATTCCATAATTGGCCTACAAAATTCTATATTTGGGAAATGGTAGAAATTTAACTCTAAGCAAGATACACCCTATTTCCAATCACATGTGATGCATCTTGGGGGCATTCATTTGTCAACCATTATTTATTGAGCGCCTGCTGCGTCCAGGCTCTGCATGCACAGACATGAAACGGACGATTTCCTGACCTTGTGGGGCTCACAGTCAGTGGGGTGGGTTGGTGGGAGGTGGAAGGAGGGGAGAGGTGCAGCGCCCCCATTACGCAGGAGTGAGGGGAGCCCCGCTGGCACGCAGCACTGTGCTGAGGCTGGGTGTTCTAGGGTGAAAAAGCCACTTGGTCTAGTGGGTGTTTGTAAAGCGGGATCATTGCTATGAGGGAGAGAACCTTGTATTGGGAGAAAGTAATTAGGGAGTGTGCGGTAGATACGGAAGAGAAATGGGCTGTCAGGTGAAGCGACTGTCGGGATTCCATCCTGGCTCTGCCCCTTAGAAGACACATGATCTTGCAGGTAATTAGCTCCTATAAGCCTCCATTTTTCCCCATCTCCCAGGGCTGCTGTGTGGATTACATTGGATAATGAGTACAAATGCATAGACAGCCTTTAGCAAGGAGCCTGGTTGTATGGAGCTGTCGGCCTCCACACTGTTAATACACATAGGTACCAGAGGCTGCAGGTTCACAGAGGAGGGTCACCAATCCGTGCCTGGGGAGCAGGCAGAGAAGAGGGAGGTGGGCCCGTCCTGAGTTCATGCTACATGAAGAGTGCTTGGAACGCTTGTGCCAGAGCTGGCGGTGAGGGTTGAGGGTGGGAGTGGCTGGGCACCTGGACACTGGCAGTGCAAATTTTCCTTCTCAGTCTCTGGGTGGTTTTGTGAGCTTCTGGCTGAATGTCAGGTGACGCATCCTGACCTTTTCCTGAGCACCTAGTGTGTGCCCTGCGCGGGGCCTAGGAGGCATGCTGGGGGCAATATGGGCCTCAAAGAGGAGGTTGGGTGATGAGGGGCCAACCTAGATATGCCAGTCAAGAAACCGTGGAGGCTAGAGGGATCCTGAAGAGGGCAGGGCACAGCAGTGGGTGCCAGGCCTGGGTGTGCATGATTCCACTGAACCCTCGTAACGGCCCTGGGTGCAGGGTACAGAGTGCTGGGTGAGGACGGAGGCTGTGCATCTGTGATGGCCCCAAGTGACAATGCTGTTGGGATTCGAATGAGTTTGTAGACCACAGAGGTCCCAGCCATGCTTAGTTTCCATGCCAGTTTTGTAGTGACTGGCGACCTCACTCGAAGGGTGGCCAGCATCTCACCTTGGGGCTTCTGTCAGTGTTGTCGTAGGCTTCTCTTCCGCTGGGGTACAGTGGCCTTGAGCATGTGCCCCTGCCCACGGCGGCTGGCGGAGGCCGGGAGCCAGGGGTTTCTGTATTTAGCATGGCACTTGCAAAAGCTGTGATCCCCCAGCAGGCACCACAGAAGCAACCAGAGGGAGGGGCACGGGCTCCGGGCCGGGTCATCACAGCCCATGTGACCTGTCGCTCTTCTCTTCCAGGGGCATGGTCTAGCGGCCCAGTCAGGACACACTCCCCGGAGGTTCTGACCCACTCCCTCTCGGACTCCTCCTGGTCTCTGGTAAGTCACTCCCGGAGGCCAACTGGTCCGGGGCGGGCGAGGACTGAGGATGGAAGTGGGTGACTCCTGCTGTGCCATGGGGTCCTGCCCATGTGTGGGGACTGGACCCAGCTCAGCAGAAAGAGCAGGGAAGACTGAGCATGGGGGGCAGCCCACCTAGCACCCCTAAGACAGGTCAGGAAACTGCGGCTCAGAGATGCAGAGAACCACCCCCACGACCCGAGGCCCCACAGCCATCTCGGCTCTCGCCCTAAACTGACCAGGTCTTTCTGGGCAAATCGCATGAGCTTTGGTGCTTCTGTTTGGGGATTTGTGGGGGGAATGAGGGGCCCAGAACTTTGAGAAGGACGTGTGGATGAGGGCAAAGTAGGGCGCTGTCATAGTGTCTGGGTGTCATGACCCTGGTCGTCCTGCCAGCTCCGAAGACAGGAAGTCCTGACCGACCGTGTCCCGGGGCTGCCCGCAGGTCTGGAGAGCCCGCCAGCCGTGCTGTGGGGCTGCTCTCCGGCGTTGAGGGTTTGGTTTTGTTTGCAAGCGACGAACCAGGTGTGCGATGCTGGAGAGTGTGTGATTCTCGCTGTGCCTCTTCACAGCCCCTTCCAATCTCGTGCATAGGAAGGTTGATAAAAATGCCCTCTCCAGGGTCAATGCAAGATCAGACCTGGAGTGAAGTGTCCCCATGGTATCTGGTCTGGCAGAACCTGGCTGCCCACAGCTCCTCCTCTCTCTCCCTCCTCCCTGTCATGGTCTTATGACTATTATGGTGACTCTTGTCACTCGACACCCTGCCCCACCTGCTCCCGCGTACTGCGAGCATCAGTTGGGGCCATGGATGTGGCAAGGGTCAGCTGTCATAGGCTCCCGGGGGGACACCTGGGGAAGGGACGTTTGGGGACAGAGCCCCATCTGGCCATGCCCAGCCCATGAGAGCCCTCATCACCGACTTGCATCTGGTGAGTTTGGCAGGGTCCTGTATAAAGACTGAAGTCCTCCAAGTCCTCATACAAAGTCGCTTTCCAAAAGTCTGGAATTTTCTTGGCCCTAGATGCGGGAGATGCTCTTTATAATTTTCATTTTCCCACTCAGAAGGAACCACCTTTGAATGCTCAGCCAGGCTAAAATTTGGACCCGAAACCTGTTAAAGCGTCACTATCTTAATTTCAGTTGTCGTGAGGGGGTTCTGGGCTGTGTGAGGGGTGGAGGGCAGGTGCCAGTGGCGGGTTCCATCTGTGGCACTGGTAGATGTGAGTCCCTCAGTCGGTCAGGCCCAGGGCCCAGGGCCCAGGGCCCAGGGCAGAGCCCGGGCATGGCTGCTTTCCCACTGGGCACCAATGCGCTCACGTGGTGTTTCCAGGACCAAGTGAGCTCCCCACCCTCTGCCCGTCCCTGCCCTGCCCTCAGATCTGCATCCCATGTGTGGGGTGGGTTTTCCTGCCTTCCTCTTCCTGAGGGAGGGGATTCTCCTTCCGCCTTCTCCTTGCCAGAGTGGCTGCTGGGTTGAGAGGAGACTTCCAGGCTGGGGCCTCAGCCTCAGGGTGCCGGTTAGCCAGTGGTTAGCTGAGAAAAAAGTATTTTTCTCAGAAGAAAATAGACACAACCGCATGTGAAGGGGCCGCTTCCACCCATTCATTCTCCAGCCACCAGCCTTACTGGAGCTGGAAAGTGGGGGAACATCTGGGTCCGTGCTACCTGGATGTCACCTGCATACAAGTGTCCTGGCCCGAGGCCACTGTCAGCACAGCTGCACAGGGGAGGCGCCTGGCCCGGCAGGTCGTGTTGAGGCTGATACCCGTGTCAAGAAGCGGGAGCAGGCGAAGGGATCAGAAGGGGGTGGAGGAGGTGGTCCCAGGTGTCCATTCCCATCCCCAGACCCCTGGGGCATTTCAGTGCATGCACAGCAAATAATATCTCTGCACCGCCACCACCACGAGTTGAGGGACTCTGGGGTCAGAAGGCACTTTCCAGCACATTCACACCGTTGGCCGTGGATGTTGTGGGTCAGGTGGTGGGCAGTGGAAGGGCCTTCCGCTTCTCTCTGCCCCGGTCCTCGGTCGTGTACAGCAGACCTCTCCCTGGGCAGTGGAGAAGCAGCACCTGCATACTAAGGCTCGAGTCTCAGCCTCCCCTACCAGCCTCCCTCTCCACGCCCCCAGACACTCACGCATTCCTTCCCTTGAGGTGGGTTCATGGAGCATGTTCCCTGTGCCAGACAAGCTTCCAGGCTCTGGGCTTCTGATGGAGAATGGGCCAGAGTAAACCTGGCCCCAAGGACTTTGAGCTCCACTCAAAGGGAGACAGACAGTGAACTCAATAAAACAGAAATGAGAGAAAGGATCAAGCTGGAAAGGGGATAAAGAATGAGTGTCGGTTTTGGACAGAGTGCTTGGGGAAGGCCTTCCTGAGATGGGAGCTGACCAAAGGCCTGCAGGAGGCCAGGGACGGGCGTGCTTCTAGCTAAGGAGCAGCTGGTGCAAAGGGCCTGTGGCAGATGTATACCTGTGGCAAGGAGGGGGTGAGCAGGCAGCTCAGCCAGGTCCTGGTGGGTCACACCTGAGGGGCAGGACGCTGGCAACCCCGACCACTGAGGAAGACAGGTGTGAGCAGCATCTCAGCGCAGCCAGAGTCCCACCATACGGCGGCCCTCTGTGTCACTTAAATAAGGACGCCTCCTCCCAGGCTTAAGAGACCATTGTTGCTCATAGTGATTTGTGTAGCCAACAGTTCTTCTGGAAGAAGTTAGATGAACAGGGCCATGGAGATTTGGGGCCAGAAGAGCAGAACCCCAGGCTTGCCTCCCCTCCGGTGCTGGCCAGGCTGTGGATCCCAGGCGGGCATCTCAGAGAGCCATCTGAGCGGCTTTTCTGGAAGTGCCCTCCTAGGCGGACACTGGTCATGAGGCAAGGCAGCGGGGAAGGGACCGTCCTCCTGTGTTGTACGTTGAGGGTTATATTTAGGGTGACTTGGGATGACTTGGCAGTATCACTTCCTGTGGTCGTCCCCTCCAGCCCTCAGCCATGGAGAGCAGATCCTGTCTGACAAGCATTGTGGGCAGACACGTGCCTGCACACACGTACACACACACACACATACACACAGACACACACATTGTGGGCAGGCACAACTTAGCATTCTCATCTGCCCTGGAATCAGTGGAGGGCTGGGGACATTGTCCTGGCCCTTCGGCAGGACCACCAGGTGCCTAGTGGGGGAATCCTGGCCGTCAGCGTCCCCAGAGCATTTGCTCCATGTCAGGCTCTGTGTGAGGGGCTGCATCCAGATCCCACAGGAGCAAGATCAGCCTAGGCTCCCCATCTGGTTGGGAGATGCCAGGCGGAGGTGGAAGGAAGGGCGGCTGACCTGCCCGCTAGTCTGCTCAGCCACATGGGCAGCCAGAGCCGAGGCTGCACAAGGACGCTCCCCTGACCTTGCTGCCTGTTGGCCCCGGGTCTCCAGGCCGGGTCCGAGCCAGCCAGGCTCCTCCCCACCCAGTCACTGGCCTCTCTAGGTGGAGTCCACAGTGATCTTTTCTCCCCTTCCTGAGGCATCCAGCACCACCCCAGGCACAGGACCTGGTGTTTCTGGGACAGCCCAGATTACACATTTTCTCTCAGTTACCCCCTAGAATATTCTTGGACTTCTCAGACCCCATGTGCAAATTTTTAGCTTAGAAGTAATCACTGGGATCATAGACGATGTTTAGCAAATATCTGTTCTTTTGGATGTTCCTCGGCCCCCAGAGGGTCTCTGGGAAACTGGCTCTTTTGCTGAGGCTAGAGACTATCTGGGTTAGAATGTGCCTAATGGGGCTGTCGGAGGATGCACAGACAGTGCCCCGGGGGCTGAAGATCCACTGTTCCGAGGCCGGATCTGCAGAGGATTTGGAGGTTGTTTGGAAGGAGCCCCTAGATCAGCCGGACCTTCTCTCTCCCTCCCTCTTTGACTTCCTTCCTGCCTCTTGTCAAACAATTACTGTGTACTTCCTGTGTTCCAGGCGCTGTGCTAATAATTGGTTATGGGATTATTCCTAGCCACACCCTGGGTAAATGGAACCCAGCTCTCTGTCCTTGGGAAAGGGTCAGGAGAGAACTGGGACCCAGCCGGGAAGCTGGAGGCTTGAGGCTGCTGGTCCATGTTGGAATGCTGCCTCCCTCTGCCATCCAGCACCCAAGCCCAGCGCCAGGCTCAGAGTAGGAACTGAACCTTTGTTGTTATTGTTGTTGTTGTTGTTGTTGTTGTTGTTGTTGTTTGAGACAGTCTCGCTCTGTCACGCAGGCTGGAGTGCACTGGCGCAATCTCGGCTCACTGCAACCTTCCACCTCCCGCGTTCAAGTGATTCTTTGCCTCAGCCTCCCGAGTAGCTGGGATTATAGGCGTCCACGACCACGCCTGGCTAATTTTTGTATTTTGAGTAGAGACGGGGTTTCACCATCTTGGCCAGGCTGGTCTTGAACTCCTGACCTCAGGTGATCCGTCCACCTCTGCCCCCCAAAGTGCTGGGATTACAGGCATGAGCCACTGCGCCCGGCCAGGAACTGAACCTTGGTAGGAGAAGGAAAGAAGGAGTTCCTGTCTTGCCTTCCCAACCAGACTGGAAGCGCTCTGAGGGCGTTTTACCCTTCGGTGTCTCCCCAGTGCTTAGCACTGTAGCCTGAACCTAAGAGGTATTCCGTGAGTGCGTGTTGATTACACTTCGTGTGTATGGGTGAGTGCATTGCCACAACTCTCCCTGCAGAATCTATGGCCTCTGGTGCTGTGATTTAAAGACTAAAGACAGCAAAGAGTGGCTTTTATGAGCTTCCCCCACTCCTGATTATAAACACAGTGTCTATGAGTCAGATGCCTGGGTGATCATGGATAAGTCACTTGCCAACAGTTAACTCCAGACTGTAGCTGCTGGGGCCACCGAGGGCAGCTGGAACATCACCTTTCCTGTGCCTAGTGTTTCAGCCGGGCTGATGCCATTTTATTAAGAATGACTTACTGTTTTTATTGCTTCCCAG